GAGGGCTGCAGCACGGCTCTGCTGGGGCTCTGGATGCAGGGGAGGTGGGTCACGCCTTGGACCCCTGTCCTGGGTTCAGCCAGGAATGGGTTAATTTTCACCAGGAGCCAGGAGGGAACACAGCCGGGCACGCTGACCCAACCTGGCCAAACAGAGCAGGGTATTCCATACCATGTGCCATCATGCTGGGTTCCAGTGGGGGGGAGATGGGCGGCAGGAACTTTCTCACGGCTCGGGAGCGCGCAGTGGCAGTCCTGGGGAGCGGCTCTGTGTGTTGTATGGTTTGTGTTGTGCGTTCTCCTTATCTGTATCGTTGTTGTTCCTGTTCCCTCTGTTTGCTGTTCTGTTAAACTGCCCTTATCCCGACCCACCAGTTTCTGCCTGTTTCTTCCCATTCTCCTCCGCACCGTGGCGGGCGGAGGGTCGGCCGCGTGGCGCTTTTGTTGCCGGCCGCAACCAAACCAGAACAAACTAGGCACCACTCTCCTGGATCTCCACACAGGATGGGCAAGGGATTTTAAACACTGAACTGGAACTTCTCCCATTGCTGGAAATGTAAATGCAGCAAGCTTGAGCCAAAAGACCCAAAAGACCCAACTTCCCATTGGGCCAGCTAATGAAAAAATCCCACAGGCTGTGTGACTTTATCTCTACTGACGGTGTATGTCTGAGTCCAGACAACATACCTTCAGGCATTTTTAGCTCTCTCTGTGTTAACTGGCTATAAGCACTTATGGATTTAATCTGCTTTGCCAGGTTGAACTAGCCTAGCATGTTCTGCTTTGTTCTTTTAACTCCAATGTATATGCAGTTATGAAATGCATTTCCGTATGTGGAGCACCTTTGCCTTATGTCTGCTACAAGAGCAGAAATATCTCAGCCTGCAAGGTGAAAGGGATGAAGCGGTGGAGGATAATTGTGTTTCCTGAGACAATATTTGATGTGAATACAATACAAAAAGGTTGTGAAAGTGAGTGGGTATGAAAGAACCAGAAAAACTGTCCATCCAGTGGAGCTCTGCAGAAGGAGGATGGAGCCGCACATAACAGGAGGTGATACAAGTGAGATCAGCAGGTGGAGGGGTCTTTTGTAGGGAAGGCTGTGCAAGGGCACGCCCTGACTTCCCCCAGCTGCAGACAGAGACCAGGCAGTGTGCTGAAGGGATGGGGAACAGTGTCCTGGGTTAACAGAGCGTGGATGACAGAAGGCTGCAGAGATATGGGTGGGGAGACTTCAGGAAGTCCTTTCAAGATCTGAGCAGGCTGAGCTTTGGTTCCAAGAGAAAATGAAGGTACTCTCAAGAATATTTTGGAATTTGTGCTACTGTCACTAATAGCAGTAATAGGACCGTGCTGTAAGGGAAATGCTTCTTATTCTTGATGATGACAATGAACTAAAACTCTTTAATTTCCTTCCCAACAGTTATTCTGTACTGACAAAATCACTCTAAGTTCTCAGTAGCTAGCCTCTGGCATGAAGTTCTTAGAACAGTGTTTTTCCTCTTCCTGCTGCCTCTTTGTTATTGTTTTAAGCTTTCACATCTTAGATTTGCCTTTAAATCCTGACAGCTCCCTGTATTTTCTGCTTACTTTCATCAGAAGGAGGAGAAGGACCACGGGAGTTATTTCTTTTTAGCAAAAGGTGGCCAAGGGACAGATCCCGGATTTCTGCAACGGAACGGAGAAAGGACAAATTTTCCTGTGTTATACAGATACAAGACCATTACCTGCATTTCCAGTCTCTGAAGTCCTAAGTCTGCAGCAGGGAGTGTGGAACGTCAGCTGCCTTCATCTGCCCTGCATTTCAGCATGTGAAATGAAACTAACTGAGTCAAAGAGAGGATTTTGATTCACAAACTAAAACATTGCATATGTCAGCAGATTGGCCCATAGTCCCAAGGAAAAATCACAGTTTGCTGAACAAAAATCTTAGCTGTCTCCAGGAATCTCAGGAGGCAAGGCATAGTGATTCCTGGGTTCATGGAGCTGTTCGAATGCCTCATCTGTGCTTCTGCAATGATGGCTTCAATGCCTGGCTCATCTGTAGACTTTCCACATGGATGCTGACATTTCTGGAGTGACCTGCTCTGAAAGGATTAACATGGTAGGCTGATAGGAGGGTATCAGTGCAGTACAGGAGAAGAGCTTGGCTTTGGGCAAATGAAAAGGGAAGCAAAAGATGTGGTCAGGGGTGTTTGGGAGCACCTGTGGAGCAGCCCTGCATCTCCTGTGAATTATTTCTGGGGTCGGGAGAACCTGGGAGTTTTCCCTTAGTTTTGAGACACGAAGGGGAAGGAACGGCACCACCACTGAGGCTGGAAGTGACCCCGGGATGTGTCTCGACCAAGCTCCTGCTAAAAGCAGGGTGAGACCAGAGTACTCAGGATTTCATTCAAATACAGCTTGATTGCATTCCAGGACAGACGCAGCACACACTCCCTGGGAAGGAGCTTCCAATGCCTGACCGTCCTCATGCTAGAAAGGTTTATCCCTATAGCTAGCTGTTATGGTTTGGCTGCGGCCGGCAACAAAAGCACCACGCGGCCGCCCCTCCCCCCGCTGGGGCATGGAGGAGAATGGAAAGAAAGAGGCAGAAACTGGTGGGTCGGGATAAGAGCAGTTTAACAGAACAGCAAACAGAGGGAACGGTAACAATGACGATATAGATAAGGAGAAAACACAACACAAACCGCACAACCCACAGAGCCGCTCTCCCGAACCGCCGCCACTGTGCGCTCCCGAGCCGCGAGCG